TTGATCAGGTGCTTATTATCAGCGCTTTGGGAAGTCCTCCCGATATGAAAGGAGCTTTACAAAGGTAATTTGTTGTTGTTGTTGAGACGGCTCAAAGCGCTTCACAGATTATACTATAAAGTGTATTTTGTGGGTGAAATCTTCTTACCCCAGAAAGTTCTCAGAGTTGCCATTGAGAATGATGTGAGCCCTGAGTCAGTTTTTCCTTGTGTTCCTTTTGTTTTTAGCTTTAACTTTTTNCCTCAATTGTTTTGAAAATCTGAAAGCTGAAACTTCCACATGCCATTATAATCGTCTTTGTGTACTACTACATTGAGCACATGTGGTTTAAGCCCATAACTAAATTGGAAAGATACTTTTCATGGATTGTATTCCATCCCACATTAACTTTTAAAAAAACCTTTTACAGCAATATTTTGATATACAATTATATCAAATTGTTTTTATATACGTTAGAAATAATAACCATTGATTTTGCTTGTGTCTATAATGTCATACGTTCTGAAGTGCTTCATAGGTCACTGCTGTCAAGTGCAGGACCTGTGTGTCAGCGTTCTTCACCAAGCTGAAAACTCAATCCTTTTTGAGAATTTCGGATTTAAGGAGCTGAAATCCAGAAATCTTGTGCTTACTCCTGGCTTTATGATTGGCAGGCAGTAAGCACCTTGATTACAATTCAATAGTACATATGCAAGATTACGTTTATATTAGAAATAAGAAGTTTGCCAAAAATGATTCCTAGTTTTGCTAAATGGCATCGTTTTGAGTAGATTCACTGTGCCTGAAAAAAAGATTAGCGCAATTGCTGCTTCCCATGGACTGTGGAGTTTTCCCAGTAGACCTGTAGATGGGCCTGAAAACACATTGCCTGTGGGAAAAACCCGTAGAGTTGTCAAGTATGCTCTGAACAGCATCTCTTACAGCTACTGCTCATTAACAGAGCTCCATATCACACTCATCCTCACTCTCAAATATAGGGTTCAGAGGCTGAATTACAGCTCTGCCACCGTCAAAGGTTGGGCAAGTTGCAGCTCTCCACCTGTTCCCTTTTTTTTGCCACTTGTTGTACGTCATCTTTCTCTGAAGAGCAACAGTCTGAGGAGCATACATTTTGATGTATACAGCAACATCTCTTCATTTTACCCCACAAGGTGCAGATTATTCAGAACTCTGCAGCTCATGTCCTCTCCTCCACAGAGCTCCGTGAGCTGATCAACCCCATCGTCTTCCGGCTCCACTGGCTCCTCATCCCCCAGAGAATTGAGTTCAAGATCCTCGCACCTTATTTTAAATCCCTCCATGCTCTTGCTCCTCCCTACCTCTGCAACTTATTAAAACTTCACCAACCTGTCAGCTCCCTCCGCTCTGCAGCCACTGGCCTGCTCCAAGGCCCCCACCCTGCTTGCTCCAACATTGGCTGTCTGGCCTTCACCCTTTTTGCTCCCTCCCTCTGGAGCCCCTCCGTCTCGGACCCTCCCTTGCCTCTTTCAAGGCCTGTCACAAGATCTTCCTTTTTGACAAGCTTCCCTCCTCCACTTCCCTTCCCCTCCACCCCTCTCTGATCCCAACCCGCAGCTCGAATGCAAACCCCTCATAGTCCAGTGCCTTGGGACTTCCTCCCGACGTGATACGGGATAAATGCAATTTGTTGTTGTTGTCTGCCTTCAGTTGATTAACTACCCTTCTCATCTACAGGCGGGACATTCTGGAGGCACTAACAGCATTTAACTGGGCCGTGATTTCAAGGTCAGTCTTTCCTCTATTGTGGGACCTTTACTCAAAAAATGTTTGGCTACCAGAATTTTGTTTGGCTACCAGAAATGTACAAGGTAGTAACACTATCTCATAAGAAAAGATAATTCAAAAGATCAGTGATGCCTCATTAGAGGCATGCCTGCTAGTTGCCTACACAGCATGATTTTTTTGGTCAGCTGGGTGTCTGACACATGTGGAAACCCATCACCATGGATATCCGCATGTGTCAGATTCGTGCACACAACACAAATTGTTAAAAGCTGTGGAGAAATCCTTGATCCAGTCCCCCTCCCCTCTCACCCTCAGGTAAAAAAAGTGATGTCTGATACTGCAGTTGATTACATCAACAGAAAACCAAACTGAACAAATAACTATATTGTGAGAAATCACAAGTGTGATGTTGCTTACTGGAACATCAAGGGTGAAGTCCCGTAGCGTAGTGGTTATCTCGCTCGTCTTGCAAAGGGGAAAACCTAGGTTTGATTTCCGGGCGGGGTGAAAACTTAATAAATTTCCTTACTCCACACGGCTAACAGTAAGTCGGAACCCGGTTGTTAGTTGATTGACGGTTCATTTACTGGCCTTCTCTGGCGTTTGTTTAATAACCACAAAATACATAGTCAATCCACTTTACAATATATTCTGCCAAGCGCTTTGAGACATCTCCACAAGCGCTTTGTGGAGTCCTGTAGCTTAGTGGTTAGAGCACTCGCTTTGCAAGCGAGAGACCTGAGTTCATTTCCAGGCAGGTCAGGGCGAAACCTTGGGCAAGTTTCCTTACTCCACACGCCTAATAATAATCCCTCCAAAACCAAAAACAATAATAAAAAATTGGTCACTTTCAATCCATGATCGTTTGTGGGACATTGTTGTGCACAATTGGCTGCCGCGTTCGCCTACAAATATACAGTCAATTCACTTTACAGAATATTCTGTGAAGCGCTTTGGGACGTCCTCCCGACGTGAAAAGCGCTATATCAAATGCAAGGATTATTATTATTATTATTATTATCTCAAAGACGTGATAAGGCGCTATATGAAATGTGAAGATTATTATTGCTGCAAATGGGAAAATATTGATGGCTGTTTTGTCCAAGAAGTTTTAGTTTCCCTTAAAAAAATCACAGTTCTGACGAATCAGGCAAACAAAGAAAATTACACTTTGAAACGCTTCACGGATGTAATTGTTCATGTAATACTCGTGTACTTGCACTTGTGACTGAATACAGGGTAAAAAGCCTTATCCCTTTTAGCTCCCTCAGCATTGGTAGGGGGTAGTGGAATGCAGCCAAACACAGTAATCACTGTCGATCTGAACTGACAAGCATACAATGAAGGAGGAAGGGATTAAGCCTCTGCCACACAGGCTTGATTCTTTGCGTGCTCCCTCCACCCAAAAAAAAGTTTGCCACATATTTCAGAATATGAAGGGAACCCTCCTTCTTCACGTAGATGAATGCGGTGCGAAAGGTTTGAAGGGACAGCCGGGCAGCTGAGGGAGGAGGCAGCAAATACGTGGAATGGTTTATCGATTGCTGCCCACTAATTGCAGCTGTGTGTGTGTGTGTGTGTATGTATTAGCGAGAAAAGACTTGTGCCACCTCTTAAATTCAGCAGTACAGCGGGGGAGAAACGTAGGGAAGCAGGGAGAAAAAAAGAACTTGAGCTTTTCTCCAATCAGTCATTTTTATGCGAAACAAAACCTTAATTCATGAGAAAAGTGCATGCGGCAGACACACTCACGCACACACCACACACACACACACACACACGCGGTAGCCCAAATCATACTGTATTTTTTTTTAAAAAAGACGGATTTAGATTGCATCCTTTTTTTAAAAAAAGACCTGAAAGGCGCTTTATAAATGTAAATTGTAATTGCGTTGTATCCTTTAGACAGGTAGCATGTTGTTAAGTACTCGCTTACTCCACACACACATACACCGCATGTACACTCACACACATACTCACTCACACACTCCACCACACGCACACTCACTCCACACACACTCCACTCACTCCACATACACGCTCACTCCACATACACACTCACTCCACATACACACTCACACTCCACACACTCGCTCACTCCACACACTCAGTCCACACTCGCTCACTTACTCCACACACACATTCACTCATTCCACACTCACTCACTCCACACACACTCACTCCACACACTCACTCTCCGAACACACACACTTGCTCACTCACTCCACACACACACTCACTCCACACACTCACTCACTCCGAACACACACTTGCTCACTCACTCCACACACACTCACTCACTATACACACACACTCACTCCACACACACTCACACTCACTCCACACACACTCACTCACTCACACACACTCATTCACACTATCTCCACACACACTCAGTCAGTCACTCACTCCACACACATACACTCACTACACACACACACTGACCACACACACACTCACTCACTCACTACACACACACACACTCGTGCGAGTGCAGCAAAGCACATGTTTTTGGCAGAGGGACAGAGCGAGTGGGTGTGGCTGTGGCTGTGGTCGGGCGGTGACAGCTCACTCATCAAAGCGAAGAGGGTGGAGCGAGAGGGAGGGGAGGCAGGAGGGAAGCCCTGCCTGTCTGCCCTGCCCCTGCCACGCCCACCCCTGTCTGCCCTGCCCGCCCACCCCTGCCTGCCCTGCCCACCCCTCCCTTGCCCATCCCTGCCTGCCCTGCCCACCCCTGGCTGCCCGCCCCGCCCCCCCTGCCCGCCCACCCCGCCCACCCCTGGCTGCCCCGCCCTCCCCTGCCCACCCCTGCCTGCCCTGCCCACCCCTGCCTGCCCTGCCCACCCCTGCCTGCCCTGCCCACCCCACCCCTGCCTGCCCTGCCCTGCCCACCCCTGCCCCTGCCTGCCCTGCCCTGCCCACCCCTGCCCCCTGCCCTGCCCTGCCCACCCCTGCCACCCCTGCCTGCCCTGCCCACCCCTGCCCACCCCTGCCCACCCCTGCCTGCCCTGCCCTGCCCTGCCCTGCCCACCCCTGCCCGCCCCGCCCACCCCGCCCCCTCCTGCCCGTCCCGCCCCCTCCTGCCCGGCCCGCCCCGCCCCCCCTGCCCCGCCCCCCTCCTGCCCGCCCCGCCCCGCCCGCCCCGCCCCGCCCCCTCCGCGCCGCCCGCCCCGCCCCCCTGGCTGCCCGCCCCGCCCCCCTGGCTGCCCGCCCCGCCCCCCCTGGCTGAGGTGCTGCTGCTGCCCATTGGCCGGCGGCACCGCTCTCTGAAGTCAGAGCCGCTGAAAGCGCTGTGGCTTTTTTTTTATTTTCTTGTTACATTTGTAGCAGCAAAAAAATGGCGACTGTCATTCAGAACCCTCTGAAATCGTAAGTAAAAGGGGGAAAAAAAGACACCCCCACACACACAGCCCCCTGAGTGAGTGTCTGTCTGTCTGTCTCTGTGTGTCTGTCTGTGTGTGTGGGTGTGTGTGTGGGTGTCTGTGTGTGGGTGTGTGGGTGGTTGAGTGTCTGTGTGTGGGTGTGTGTCTGTGTGTGTGTTTGTCTGTCTCTGTGTGTGTGTTTGTCTGTCTCTGTGTGTGTGTGTGTCTGTGGGTGTGTGTGGGTGTGTGTCTCTGTGTGTGTGGGTGTGTGTCTCTGTGTGTGTGGGGGTGTGTGTGTGTGTGTGTCTCATTTGCTTACAAACACCATAACAAGGGGTAGCCACAAACCCTCTCCTAACAGAAAGTTAACCAGTAATAACGGATGGAGGTGTCTGTCTGTCTGTCTCTCTGTCTGTCTGTGTCTTACTTTTTTTTGAAAAAAACACACGCATTTGGTTGTGCGTTTTCTTTTATTCATTTTTTTATTGGGGTTTAAATTGCAGGCTTTATATGTGTATATATATATATATATATATATATATGATATATATATCTACAGGATGGGGTTGCAGCAGGTTTTTTTTCTCTCTTTGGCCACAGACCAGTTCAGCAGGAGTGTATTTCCGTCGTTGTGTTACAATGTTTTCTTCTTCTATATAAATATGTATTTATATATATACACACACAGTGTGTGTGTGTGAGAGAGAGAGAGTGTGTGTGTGTGGGTGGGGGGGGGGGGGGGGATGTCTGCTTTTAATGCAGAATCGAGAGGTCGCTGCAAATAGAGGAGGAGAAATTTTTATATGGGGAGGAGGTGTTTTGAAGCGAAGCTTCTTGTCCTCTCACCTCCTCTCTCTCTCTCTCTCTCTCACACACTCCTTCCCTCTGTAGCCCCCGTATAGGTGCTCTCTTGTCACACGAGAGGAGAAGAGAAGAGGAAGGGGAGTGGGAGGGGGGGGGAGAGAGAGAGAGAGAGAGTTTAGTTTTTATTTGGTTGGGGAGGTTTTCTTTATTTGTTGGCCAGGCAGCAAACGCTGCTACAGGAAGAGAGAGAGAGAGAGAGAGAGAGAGAGCTGTGTGTTTGTGTGCAGAGTTTCTCTGGCTGTTTGTTGGCTTTTTTTTTATTGCTAAATAAAAGGAGAGGAGAGAGGGTGGGGGGGGGGGGGGGGGGGGGGTAGTGGGGAGCGAGAGAGAGGAGAGATGTGTGGGTGTGCATGTGTGTTTGTGTGCAGAGTTTCTCTGGCTGTTTGTTGCTTTTTTTTTATTGCTAAATAAAAGGAGAGGAGAGATAGTGGGGAGAGAGAGAGAGAGAGAGAGAGGTGTGGGTGTGCATGTGTGTTTGTGTGCAGAGTTTCTCTGGCTGTTTGTTGGCTTTCTTTTTATTGCTAAATAAAAGGAGGAGAGGAGAGAAAGAGAGAGAGAGAGAGAGAGTGACAGAGTGAGAGCTCCTCAGACTGTGTGTGTGTGTCTGTGTGTGTGTGACTGTCCCCCTCGGCTCTCAGCCCCTTTTCCTCTGACAGATCAAGTGGATCTGTGTGGGGGGGGGTTGGTGACAGCCGCACTTCCGCCGTGTCCTGCTGTCCATCTGATCCACTCGCCACCTAGCGATTATTCCCAGAGAATTTGCCCTAATTTGTCTGTCTGATGAGTAAGCAATTTCCAGTGAGAGGGAGAGAGAGAGAGAGAGAGGGAGGGGAGGGGGTGACATCTATCGTTTGTTCTCTCGCTTTCTCCTCCTTTCACTTGTTTCCCTTTCTCTCTTGTCTTTCTCTCAGTTTGTCTCTTTCTCTCTCTCTCTCTGTCTCTTTCCTTCTCTCTGTTTGTCTCTTTCTCTCTCTCTCTCTTTCCTTCTCTCTGTTTTCTCTCTCTCTCTCTCTCTCTTTCCTTCTCTCTGTTTCCCTCTCTCTCGCTCTCTGTCTCTTTCCTTTTCTCTGTTTGTCTCTTTCTCTCTCTCTGTCTCTTTCCTTCTCTCTGTTTGTCTCTTTCTCTCTCTCTATCTCTCCTTCTCTCTGTTTGTTTCTTCCTCTCTCTCTCTGTCTCTTTCCTTCTCTCTGTTTGTCTCTTTCTCTCTCTCTCTCTGTTTGTTTCTTCCTCTCTCTCTCTGTCTCTTTCCTTCTCTCTGTTTGTCTCTTCTCTCTCTCTCTCTCTCTGTCTCTTTCCTTCTTTCTCTCGGTCTCTTTCCTTCTCTCTGCCTCTTTCTTTCTTTCTCTCTCTCTCTCGTTTGATTTCTTTCAACATCAGTAGAGTTTTTAAAATATATATATATACTGTGTATTGGTTGTGCACTTGTTTTCTTCTTGTTTCACTTGTTTACCCCCTATCTCTCTCTCCTCTCTCTCTCTGTGTGTATGTGTCTCACTCTCTTTCTTCTCGTTTAATTTCTGGACACATCTTTTAAGAGGTTTTTTTTAATATCCAGATATATATATATATACACTAAAAAAAAATGCCCTCTCTCTGAATACTCGTGCGAGGATTCCTATTTCTGTAAAGCACTGTAAAGTCCTGGAGTTTTCTGCATTGTAGTTTTTACACCGACACAAGCTTTCCCTTCACACAAATAACACTCCAAAAGTCTCGACTACGATTAATGCATGTATTTGGTGCTGTTAAAAGCTGACGTGTACTTTCTGGGAAAAAAACACACACACAAGCCCCCCCCCCCCCCCCCCCACCCAAAAAAAAAGTTGACTATTTTCTGATTGATCTGGATGGCTTTGATCGCTTGTGGCTTTTTTTTTTGGCATTTGTAAACTGTTCCCCTTCAGTGAGATTTGCAGCATTTTAAAAGCTTTTCTTTCTGCTTTATGCAATCTCATGATCTCTCGGTTTCCCCCCAACTCTCCCCTCCCCTTCCCTCCGATCAGTTAACTCCAAACCTAACCTCCACAGATCACTTTTTCAGACACGATCTGGAGGAGGTTTGTTGCAAATCTCTTCGGATTTTCTTTGGCTTTGCATTTTTTTTCTGCGACGCTGTTAGGTTTATCCACAACAAGCATTCTCGGCATGTCGTTTTATATATAAATGAAAGAAAAAAGACTGGACGTTTAGAAATAGCTAAATAACCTGCAGGCTCCCCCCTTTTTTTTGGAGCCACCTGTATTACGATCTGCTGCATTGCAAAAGTACTTTTTGAAAATACAGTGTAGAAATAATAATAATAATCCTTGCATTTGATATAGCGCCTTATCACGTCTTCGAGTCGTGTCAAAGCGCTTCACAGAATATACTGTAAAGTGCATTGACTATATATTTGTGGGCAAAACAATGATTGATTTCTATTTGATTGCTTAATTTTTTTTAAATTGCTCCGTTTTAAAGTTAGTGTTGGATTGACATTGCTCTTGTGCGTGTGTGATGTGCCTTGAAAATCATCATCCACTAGCAATAGCATAGCCCCGGAGGAATGGGAGGGAGGGAGATATGACGGGGCGGTTGAAGCAGTCACAGCATTCATTTCCTGGTTTATTACAGTATTTGCTGTATTGTTTTCAGTTTATTGGTGGGCGCGCTTTATAAATTTCCGTGAATGCAGATCTGACAGGTTTGTAAAACCCAAGACTGATCCGTTGCATGATCCTAACTTAGCCCCTGAAGCTAAGGAATCCGTTGCACTTAATCCAATGGCCCTTGAAAGGATAATAATGGCTGTATGTTTGCTTATCTGCCATAAAAAGAGCCCTGTTTATTTTCAGTTGCTAATCATGTATTTGTACCTTTATGGTGTGTGGCAATCTGACATTTGACCTATTTACCCATCCACTTTTCATTTAACCTATGTTCAAAACTGAACCAGTTGTACTATTTTAATTGGCTTAATTTGTATTACTGTATTTGTTTCCCCAAACGCCTTCCAAAATCGCAAACAGTTTTGTGGTACACTAAATGTACAAAACAATCCACTTTACAATATATTCTGTGAAGTGCTTTGAGATGTGATAAGACGCTGTATCAAATGCAAGGATTATTATTATTATAACACTAAGTGCAAAGTTGCTCTGTTTATCTAAGTGCTGCATTTTTGGGAGTCTGAAGGGACATTAAATGGCCACATATAATCAATGGTAAAGTGATACAGTTGGTGAGTTCATATTTAATATCTGGAGCCTGATTCAGTGCCAGTCTGTTTCTGGCATAAGCATCCTGTTATATGCAAGTCTAATTATAAAGGCTTTTTTCATATGTTTTGCGTGTATGCTAACCTATTGCCATAACTGGATAATAGTAAACTGCTCTTTTTTTGCTGTTCAAAATAATTCCAGTTTTAAATGTTTAATTTTGTCACTTCCTCTCTGATCAAATAATGGTACAGTGAAATAGTAGGTTTGTGCTACAATGTTTTGCTGATGGGGGTTGGGGGGGCGGGGGAATGGAGAGAAAGCTTTTGAAACTATAATACATCGTCAGGGTTCATAGGTTCTGCCGTCTTTGTCCCTTTGATAGCCTCAGTTTCTGGTGATGTGGTTTGTGTTTGTTACCTGAATCCCCTGCAACTCTTTACGGACTGAAACACCCCCTAGGTCATTGTAAATGGATTTTTTTTCCCTCTCTCTCTGGTGTCTTACGCCGTATGGCTAACTCAAGCTGTGTGTATTAAAATGTGAGATACTGAAATGATAGTGTTGGGGGCGGGGGGGTGGGAGGGAGGTTTTGCAGTCGAGACTTTTTGTTTAATATGTTGCTTTGTCTCACTGGAGTTTGCAGCTTATAAGAAGGCCTTTCACTCGATTGTGTCGATGTTGGCTTTCTGAAAGAATAACCCATACGCACTTCTTAAATATTTCACTCTTTGAAATATTTGTTGCCCAATTCCCCTTAGAGCTATCATGGATTTTGTAGCGCTCACTCAATTCCCCAACAATTTCCTCTCCCTCAAATTTTCAAGACTGAGGTTGATAGATGGTATCAACTATTGATAGATTGATAAATATTGATAGATATTTGTTAGGAAATGGTGTCAAGGGATAGGGGGCAAAGGTGGGTAATTGAAGTTGAGATACAGAT